CAGTACCAACTTTATAGAGCAAAACAACCTCAGATTGCCAGTTGAGAGAGGAGTGACGAAGCCAGCGAATTACTTGCGCGTAGCCTTTCCCGGGATTCATCGTTTTTCGACATTTTCCGTGGCGCTCTTGAGAGGATACCATCCAATTCAAGCGGATTTTTTTCAGTCCTTGCAGATACCAACTCCCGAGTTTCAAATTTCCAACCTCAGTCACTCAAGATCGGCGAGAAAATACCTAAAAAGCTTTTCAATCCCATTTACCAAATCAAAACATTTGATGTAAACGTTATGGATCCGCCCGCAGATTGGCATCAATTGCAATCCGCATTTCGACTCTTATCTTACGGCTCTCCTTTTTGGCGTGTGTATGCTGATGAGGGCAAGGAAACAGGACTTACCGACAGAGACATCATCAAAGGCTTGTCCGAACACGCTCTCCAAAAGCTTCTATCCACGGATTGCAAACCCGACACCTTGACCAATGCACAAGCAATGGCATTGCTTGGGTCAACCATACAGCCACGGCTGAACAGAGCTTCAGATCTCGAGGCCAAGCTTGTTTCAAGCCATGCATCGACATGCATGAACATCAGCACCCCCCAACTCATACTCACTAGTCAATATCCCTCCCAATTCACCCTTTCTTCGGCAGCCAATCAGTACCTGGCATCTGATGAAGCCAGTCTAATCCGATGCATTCAAGTCCTTGCCTCTATTAACCGCCAAAGTTTAATTGGTCCAGGTGATGTCGGTGAACTAGTCAGTCGCATCATTCTACTCCGGGCCATGCAAAAAACCATGCAGAAGACCCAACCAGCTGCAGACACAGAGACCCATTCAGAGAACATCATGATGCCATTTGGGCATTCAGTTCGGTTGGTAGACTTCTTGCAGACCTTAACTGGCTGGAACAAAAACGACTTGAAACTAGGTTCAATCGACAAAGAAAATCAAGAGGAACTTTTGACTCGAGGACAGGTCTTCTGGAATCACTTCATTTCCATCGATCACACACCAACATCAGCCGGTCTGTTACGAAAATTATATAGAGGATTGGCGGTCCATTGCAAACCCAATCAGGCTTCGTTTGATCAACTTTTTACAATTTACCTTCAATCCAGTCCCACGGAAGCGCTGGACGAGAGGAATGTCACATTTTGTGGTATCCAAGTCAAAAATCTAAAGCAAAACGATAACATAAAAGAACAAGCCTCAAAGTGGACGCCAAAAGATGCAAAAATGAAGCTTCAAGGAAGAAACCCCTATCTCGTCCTGTACTTCTGTCTGAATGACTTCAGACCAAAGAAACCCAGGTTGCACCCGAAGAAACTGAAATCCACTAGCTCTGCCACATCCATAACACTAGAAACACCAACACCACTGCCTAAAATTACCCACATACCTGACGGGAAGCTTTCAAAGGAAGAGGCACGTCGACGGGCATCTCTGGCTTTCTACGGTTTAGATGCTTTTCCTTTTCTGAGTGAAAAACTTGTTGCTGTTTTGAAAGAATTATTGGATTCTGATCCACCTGTCTTACAGCTTCCTGAGAACCCATCTGAACTTGATTGTGAATATGTATATGGAGCTTCTCCAGAAGTGTTTTCTCTTGACAAAGCAGATTAAAGAAGAATCAGATAATTCTACATCACATTCAAAACAATCTACCATTAAAAACCCTACAAAATTATTGTTGTTTTACCCAATAACTCTTCTCTTCTTTGCTTGTTGTCAACTTGGTCCTCCTGATTCCGCTTTAAAAAAATTTCATCAAAATCATTCAAATTTCCAGAGGACTGATTGATTGAAGGTTTTTTTGGTGCCACCGAAAAAAGAAACTTATTGGATAAGCCAGTCTGACTAGTGCTCCGACTGGCATTGTCCAATCAGTTCTGTATGGAGGCACTGAGCCAACTTCTGGGCCAATTTTTTTTTCATGTCATGTTGACGGTAATGTAGTGGGAGTTGGGAGTCATCCAAGGAACAGGTTAGTACCGGCCAAGATATATGCTTTAAGCGTCTCTGCCATCCAGGTAGAGCACTACATGTTTGCCTTCCCCCAATTGGTGCAACATTGTAGGCTTCCTTTTCCCACCAATGAGGCTCTGGGGGAGGATCTAGAGATGAAGTCACTTGGGTGTGAAGCACTCTTCTTGAGATATAAGACAGATCAAATATCAAATGTGATAAATATAAAATTCAGTACAAAAGCCGTATGGTAAACCTATTTTTTTGTGTTTTTGAATCAACAATTGATTGTACAATACATATTTACATACATTAATGCAAAAAAACAAACCAAAAGGGGGATGGGTCACAAGAATCAGAATCAAAAACGTATGCTTGATACACCCCCAACAAAAAAAGCGTGATTTGTCAGAAATTGAAAAAAAGGAGCAAGGAAACGAAAAACAGAGAACTGGAGAAGAGGGAGAGAAAAAAAGAGGGCTGGAGAAGAGAGAGAAAGGAAAAGAAAAAAACAGAGGGCTGCAGAAGAGAAAGAGAGAGAGAGAGAGCGGGAGGGAGAAAGGAAGAAGGAAAAATGTTTGATAAAGAAAAGAGGAAGATCAGCACAATCTCGAGTCACCAAAACCTGCGCGACTAGAGCGTTTGACTTTCCATTCGACGAGAGCGACTTCGGTCCCAGAGACCAACCAATCGCCATCAGGGGACCAACTCAAGCCGATAAGATCGTCCCACATCCCGCTCCTCACGCCCGAGTAAGAGGACGAGATGAGTCCGTAGAGCGAGTTTGAGCGGTTGCGGATCGCCCCCGGCGGGCCTCCTCCGTCCAGATCAAACCATGCCTCCGAGCGCGAGAATGGGGGAGGGTTTTGGCCGAGCCGGTTGGCAATCAGTTGCGAATGGGCTTGTGCGATCGACGTGGCCGCTGGGACCCGGGCCCGAAGTATTGCAGCTGTCGTTGATGAGGGGGTGTTGGTCGAATTGTTGTCCACTCGACTACTGCGATCATCATCGACACTCAAGACTCGGATCGATGATCCATTGAGTTGAATCTGTCGACTCGAGGACGTGGACGTGGAAGGTGGGCCCCATTCCAACCTGGTACCCGCCGAAGTTGTTCGTGATGATGAGTTATTCGGTCTTGCTTGCGAGCCTTGTTCTCCTCCTTCACCCTCTAAGCATGCATCGTCATCCTCTAAATTAGGCTGCAGTCGTGACCTCACCGCCCAACTATATCCTCTCTGCGTCCGACTTGCTCTGATACCTGTCCCAAAGAGTTGACTCCCTCGGCTTGTCAGTGACGATCCCAGGTTGAGATCATTCCGCTCTTCAGCAGCCCCCCACATCCGTTCCCCAACAGTATCGAGTTCCGGGCTCCGCCTCCCAGAAAATTCTCCAAACATTGGTTCTGCAAAACTCATTTCGGTGATCGGCTCCTCCCTCGATGCCGGGGACCCAGATTGTCTGTTTCGTCGGCGAAGACGGTTCCTTCTGTTCGGTTCAGCATCTGGGTTGTCTTCATCGTCCTGCTCATGCTCTTCTGGCTCGATATCAAGATCCATTTCGATTGGACGAAAGTTTCTTCTAGCTCCACGTGACAGCTGAGCATGCAGCTCACTCATTCGTCTTGATGCGCTTGAAGCGTTCTCTTCATCATAAATGAGACTTGAGCGATCTAGAAGGGAGGAAGGCCGAGCTGGACTGCTTGTTGATTGATGTGTTCTGATGGACCCAGGTGATAGGCGTGGTGGGAAGGGTGTCATTCCGGGGAAGGGTGTCGGGACTGTCAATATTTCTTCATGATCTGGATCAAAGGTCCGAGCATCCAAGACATGAACCAAAGATTGATGCTGAAAAAACAAATTCATTTCAAATCAGCCGCTCTAGGTTTTTATTTTTTTTATTTTTTTTATTTGCGAGTTGACTGACCTCAGTGAATGCCAATAGCTCGTTAGGACCAGCAGGACTGAACTTGACCACTCTCGCGCCTCCAGGCCTTCCTTTTTGAGCGGTTTGCTTCACTAGAAGGGGCTTCCCAAGCATCTTCATATCATAGACCACAACCACTTCACCTTCACTTGCGACTGCAAATTTATCTCCATACTGATTCCAACTCGTACTGAAGCTGCCAGTGAGAGCGGAGACTCCAGGAAGATAGATCTTTCGGGGGCCCAATCGCCAATCGCCAATTAAGGGTTCATTGGATTGATGTGCGTTTTGACAGTCGTAAATAAACACTTCACTGCTGTCACCTACCGCCACCATCGTTTTCGAGTCTGGACTAACACTGCAGTGATTGACTGGGACCGGGAAAATGATGCTGGACTTATGTGTTAACACCGGTTTCTCGTTACCAGTGGAGACGGGGGGATCTAATAGATGGTCGCCGTCTGCTTCGCGAGATCTCGAGCCTGGTGTGGGGCGATGAGCAGGATCCACGGATAACGATTCCGATGCGGCATTTTGAATGGTTGAGACGCTGGAAAGGTCATATTGAGTAATCTAGTGTTTATAAGCATGGGAGATGAGTGACATCCATTTCAATCAAGTGTTCGAGCGAAAAGGAAAAAAAAAGTGGACAAGATGGTGAACGCACGGTCTGGTCATTATTACAAACCAAAACTTGAGGATTGCCACGGGGTGAAGCTTGAAAGAAGTGAACGGAGCTAGATGGTGGAAGCAAGCCAAGCATTGTAGGTTATCCAGACTAACATGGTTTGTACAAAAGAAAGAGAAAAGGAACCGATGTTTTAAATCAAAAACACTGACTTACTTGACGATTGATTGACCGGTAGAGACTTTTAACTCCCATCGAGAGTGGATGTCAACTGATCTGATGAGCAGGTCAGCAGAACTTCCGCCGATCGCAACATAACCGCAACTGAGGAATAACAAAATCAATAATAAAAACTTGAAAAATCAATGATAAAATTCAATGATACTTCCAACATGAACAAAAAGAAGCGGTGAGGGGGGGGGGGGGTGCTTATGAGGGCTGCTTTTTAAAAGTTCAACTTACCCCGAAACTAAGCAATTCGGATGAAAGGATGTGGCGTTATCCATGAGCCGCATCTGTGGGAAATTCGGCAGTGATCGATGCGATAAGTTTTATTACACATAAATCAGCAGAAAGAGAGCAGCTGTAACTGAACTGTATATTGTCCAAAAACATGGGCATCGACTCCATGTCCTTCAAAACAAAACAAAGCAAATGACATACGAAGCAAACGTCATTAGTCCTTTCACAGCAAGAGAAAACCAATTGGTACAACTTGGATTTGGGCATACCTGAGACTGTTTGAACATGATGGGCTTGAGTAGGACATATCAACAGATCACGTAATTGCCTAGCAGATCGAAGGTAATAAACAGCGCAGTCAGTTAAAATAGAGAATGAATGTTTTTAGGGATCGTCTCTTCAAGACCCCAGATCGACTGATCTGAGACCAGGGGGAGGCAGAATGCAGAATCGATTTAGAATGTGACTCACGGATGAGAAATAGAACTTCTGTGGAGGGTTCAGAGGGATTTTGACATCAGTCACAGTTAGGTGATCTTCTGCAATGAAACTTAAGAATTGGCAATCGGGCCAACCTTGCAGAATGGGTGTTTTTGATGGGCTCGAAGAATGGCCTTTGAGAGGTAGAAGCTTCCAGTTTGAGGTTAGTACCGATTGTCAATCTGGTGAGTTGGAAGATAAGTGAAAGAAGCAGGTCAGTTCTAAACCAACATGTCATTCATAGGATAGGGGTCATGATCAGATTCTTACGTTGACATCGTTCTTGTTTTCCGTTCTTCGTTGCCTCGTTCGTCTTTGGTGAGTGTATCCTAAAAATGTGTTGATGGTTGGTCAAGAGCTGGGTGAACCTCCCTTGTTGACCATTGGCTCATTCGCATTGGCCATTCGACTTTCCCTCGGCTGATGTAATCACCGCTGACTTTTCCCCAGAAAAAAAAAAACACAAAACGCCGGAAAAATCTAACCCGCGCACAACCAGAGCCGCATGCATACTTACATCTAAATATGTTCATGACTTGTCTTGGGTCATCAAAACATTTTTGGCATGCAAGAAGCAGCCTAGTAGAAATGAAGATCATCTGATTAAACCAAAAAATTTGAAGCTCAAGTCAAGAAAAAAGACAAAGAATAATGGCACAAACCATCAACATATGCAGAAGAATTCAAGTCAATATGATCATGTGTCAGAAAAGACCAGGTGCTTAGAACTCAAAATCAATCAGCTCAAATAATAATATCAAAAAAAAAAAAATCAAAGGATATAAAAAATACAAAAATCAAATCAAACCTTTTACTAATTGGAATGGGTAGGCTGCAGATATTATGTAGGTCAAAATTGGGATATATCAAAGAACTATTGTAAACATTCTTAGTTAATCCTTTTCAAGTTTTCTTGAGCTTTTTTGGAAAATTATATTGAAATTGTTGTAAATTTTTTTGTAAGGGAGAGAATAGAGGATTATAAGAAATATTCAAATGAGTATCATTCCAAAATGGAGCAAAATTGGAAGTAACTCAAACAATTGGAAGTGATTTGAAAATGTTAATTGTTGAAGGTTTGTATGATACTCTAACTCCAATAGATTAAGTCAAAGATGATTTAATGAGATTTTCTTGATGGAAAAGCTTACCTGAGGAGGTGAAAGAGCTCAAATACTATTGGAGTTCAAGAAATTTCACGAGGAAAAAGAAATAAGAGAAAAATAAATCAGACCCCCAAAAAAAAATCAGAAAAATCAGAAAAATTCCAGGGCTTGTGGATGCTTTCAGCTCCCAAATTACTCAGATCATTTGTAGGTATTCTGGTTTCTTATTCTGAATCTGGTTTGTGATGAAGGAATCATGTTATTACATTCAACAGATAAAATTTAATCTAGTTTGTTCAGTTATAGAGTACAAATTTTGATAAGTCTGTACAAAAAACTACTCACTGTGACATTTCCATTCTAGGGAATTACCATTGAAAAAAAAATAAATCACAAGTAATTAAATCAATTTAAGTATTTTTTGGGGGGCTTGAGGGTACTACTACTGCTGTGGTGGGTTGGATTGACATCAGTATTTCACACAGCGCAGTTATTCCCTTTTATGGTTTAACTGGTTGAGGAGGACAGATCTTAGGGATAGTTCTGTTTCTCTCTGAGTCCGTGCCAACAAAAAAATGGCAACAGTTACACAAACTCTGCGGCAAGTAAATATTCCTAGCTAACTCTGTGCCATCTTGTCAACCTTGTGACCGTCAAATTCCCGGGAGGAGCATCTCAAAAAATCCGTCTCAGGTAACAAGCTACATTTTTTTCCTGCAATGTTTCCATGGAAGTGGTAGCACAAGCTGAAGAGAGGGGTGCAGGTTAGGACTGATAGTATGATTTCATTTTTGCAGTGAGTTTGTAGTCAATGGAAGGAGGGAAGGATAGTAATAACTATGGGAGCGATTTTAAGAAATATCTAGGGGAGGTAGAGGGGTAGAGAAGGTCAAAGAATAAAGAAACACTTCAAATACATTATTCTGAGGGCATTAAATAATTGGCGGAGCAAAGCTCTTCATGTGAATGTAGTTTTACTGTAATTATGTACAAAACTAGTCAAAGGAGAAGACACTATCGCAGCGCGATTAGATTTTCAAGCAGTGACAGCGTTGTCACTAGGAAGAGCAGCATCCATGGATAATGCAACGTGACTTGCGGTGAGCTCTTCAGACGGGGTAGGGGCGCCGCTGGAGGCGTCATTGTCACCTGAAGGGGCAATATCGTCAGTAGGAGCAGCATTGTCACTGGTGTTTGGAGCAGTAGATTTGTCTGAATCCTTGCCTTTTTTGGCTGTTAAGAGAGAACAACCCGTCTCCAAGGTAAGTGAGAGTGAATTTCACGAGCCTACTAGATCACAAAGAGAGCTTCTTTGATTGGTTCGAAATCAGTTGCAATGCCTTCAACTTGACTGATGGGGACGTAACTGCGACGGTGCTGTCTGGAACTATAAAAAAGACATAGCACAAGTCAGAACCTTGTGCAGCTCAGCCGTGTTTCAAGCCTCACTTACCGATGAGTGTGGTCACTGCTTCTTCGAGGTCAGCAGGATCATTAACCGGACGCTACTTGCGAGTAATTGACTTTTTGCATCTAAGTGTAGCTGGTTTAACGTTTTCAGAAGGTGTGGCAGTTTCTGTGAGGACTTCCTCCGTGTTCAGAGATCAGTCAATGGGTAGCTTGGATGGAATCGAGCCCAATAATGGCTCGGCGGGACTTCTGATACCAAAGTTGAGGGTCCCTCTGCTTCAACAGAGGGGGACACGTCTGCAAGGTGAGGAGCTACCTCCAGCGTCTGCAGCTAGAGGTTTAGTGGATCTCTCATGTTCTGGGACAGATTCTTCAGCCAAAGTGAAAGCCGAAGTAAAAAAAATAGCAGTTCAGCAATTAATTTCTCAAGAATCAAATCTCAAAGACGTGCTAACCAGGTTCAGATATCTTCGCGTCATGTTAAACCTGTTGGCTAGACAGCCCAGTGTCTCGCGTTAGTATCAAGGCCACAGCAGAGGAGCTGGGTGCAAGTGTTGCTTCAGCAGGTTCCGCGGAGTTGATGGAAGGAAGGACGGGTGCGCTCTGATTATGAAGTTGGTAAGTGTTGAGTTGCTTGACGCGCCTGTAGTGATTAGTTCATGTAGACAAAATAGTAAGGCGCAGAGTCATTTTTGTGTTGGTCTGTCGTGATACCTGATCGAATAACAAGATGGCTTACGTTGGAAATCTCAGTTCAACTTCTGGGCACTGAATTGATCATTTTTGTTCCGATGTTTTCTCGTGCTTCTTACACTGGAGAAGTGACAAGCTCAAGAGTGTGAAGCAGAAAGTAGCCATTGGTACCACTACCAATATTTTGATCAGATTTGCATCTCTGAACCGCCATCAATTTACTCAAATCTGGTCTTTGGGTTCCGGCTTCGAACTTTTGATTAGCGTTTCAAGAAAATGGTAACTGACGAGTTGACTGATCAGTTCACTCCAATTCCCCTGATTGCCCTCTAGTATATCCAATTTATTCTTGAGGCTTAGCTAAACCTCTTCATACGATGGTGTGGTGTGGAGAGCCTCTGCGAGTCTCAGCAGTTTCATCTTTCCCAGTTCAGCAGTAATCTTGCAAAGGAAAGCAACTGGTAGGCTCAGGCTCAGTTAACTTCGCAAGAATCTAATTACCGGTGGCAGCGCGTCCCTTTCAGAAGTAATGAGCCCTTCTGCAAGTTGGATTGAGTCTCAGCATTAGCAGCACTTCCCTTTCATCAGTGATAGTAAACAAGGGGGTCAGCTTCGGCAAACAGAAAGCAGTAAGCTGCTGCTAGGCTCGGCGTGAAATGCCTACAATATAAATAAGAGCTTTTCTTTCCCTTGACTGCTGTATACTACTCATCAACCATCCAAATATCTTGGCACACGCTTCCTCCCACCCCTCCTCCCCTCTACTTGACCCTAGACTTCAAGGTAAGAAACATTTATAGTAGCTTCCTCTTTCCTCCTCCACACCACAGCAAGATTTTCTTTGTATCTAACAAACTTTCCTCTCGAATCATTTCATTAGCCAACAAACCAAGTCACTTCAAAAACTAATTATGGAAGACAATATGGGACCCGAAGCGATGCAAGCGCTTGGTGAGTTCCAGTTCTCTTCCAAGATGATTTCTGACTCAAAGTTTTCTAACAGTCTCATCCCACTTATTCCTTTATTTCAAGATGTGCTTGACCAGCACAAGCGCGCCTGTAAGGACAGGTACTACCGCCAAGCCCTTAAGCGAGAGTCAAATAAAGCTCGCTACGTGGACACCTACTCCAAAGTGAACTGCTTGAAGCAAATGATTGCAAAGGACCGTGGCTTCCAAGTTACTGTCAAGCACCCCAGGCTTTGGTACTTGCTTGACACAGACATCGGTGGCCCCATTCAAAACCTCGGCACTCCTCCCACCCCCCGCTGGGATGCACAAGGGCAACTTGGTCTCCGCGAGAAGCCTCTCCTTTTGCTTTTCTTCTTTTGCCTATTACTTGCACTTCTCTTCTTTGTTATATTTGCAACCTAGATTTGATTGCTTGTAAGTCTCTGAGAAAACTTGAAGTATGCGGTATGCCTTATGATCCCTCCTTGGACAGAAATCCAGTTTTTAAACAACTCAATTAAGTGTTTGTTACAAATGGATACTTTGAAGTTGCTATATCTGGTATCGCATCTTGCGTTTTACGCGAAAAGACATATCCCGCAGACTTCCGAAGCTAGTGACCCTCAAAGCGGTTGGGACATGACCTTCTATTGATAATAAAAATGTTCTAGTCAGGCTTTGCTTGAGGAGACGTGCCCTTCACAAGAAAGTTGGTGCTA